CAATTTGGAGAATATTAGGAGTAATATATGATTATATTTTTAGAAAGATCCAAGTTAGATGAAAGTGCTAGTGATGCTGACAAAGGGAAGACCAAACGCAAGTCTAGAGAAAGTGTGGATAAATCTAAAGATCAACTCAAAAGCGAATTAGGTGATGGCAAGGAGACAGAAAGACGCAAAAGCAAGGTCAGCAACATAGTTTTATGAGAATTTTTTTGTCAACCTTTGTAAATTTATATTTATACTTTTAGGAAGACAAACCAAGCAAGACAGAAGAACCAACCAAAGGTTTGGATAAATTTGACAGTGGTGTCAAAAGTGCAAAGGTGATTATAATAATAACAACAAAAGTTTGCTTGAGGGCAGTATATTGCCTGCATACATTTGTGAAAGTATCTATTGACATAATATAAAAATCTTTTTGAAATCTAAAACAAGGATGAAGCTAATTGTATTTATAATATTCAGGCAGATAAAGCCTTAGGTAAAGGGAAAAAGGTTCAGGAAGTGCCTTGCTCGTTCACATACAAACTATCTGATCCACTTTTCATCAACAATGGATGGACTACTTTGCCTCATGAAGAAATCATGTATGAGGTAAAGAATTTACAAATTTACTGTATACAAATATTAAATGCTATATTCTTTCTCATTTTGGAAGAAAATTGTGTACGATGCAAGACTGATCCGGTTCAGAGTTCCTGTTTTTGGATCAGGTTGTCAATACCAGAATGGCCTTGAATCTACAGAACGTTTTGCTGATGGCACAGAAGTTATCAAATATCCTAATGGTGATGTTGCTATTGAGTATCGCAGGAAACCAAATACTAATATTGGTAAACAACCTTCACCAGATGGTAAATTCAGTTGAAACATATATCTACTTAATGGTTATCTCTAGGTAGATTCACAGTCTACACCAGAGCAAAACGTACTGGTTTGATTGCAGTGAATGGAATTTTTGATACGTTAGGAAATGGATTAGTTTTTGATGATTTTGGACGAATAAGGTATGAAGCATAAGTATGAGCATCTGATGCTTTACTTCATAAGTGTGACCTTTTTCCAGATTATCCTACTGCCAAACTGGTGGAACTTTATATGATGCCAGATCTGGATGTAGAGGTTTTCATCCGATGAAATGGAATTGGTTGACAAGTTTGCAGTCCAAGGCTTACAGAGTTTATCAGGATACTAATTTGCCTTATATGTTCAAAGCTCCAAAGGCCAAGGTCTATGTGCCACCAAAGGATGACAAAAGTGCAAAAAGTGGTATCTTTTATTCAGCTTCAAACTTATTTTGTGCATGACAAAGATCAGCTTATACATTAAGGGACATCTTGTCCAAGTTCTGATCCAACAATTTATAATCTTTAAAGACAACTTTATCAAAATCTTCTTTCTCTTAAGGTCGTGCAACTGATAGATCAGCCAGCAAAAAAAGTGAAATATCTAAAATAAACAACCCTAAACCTGCCAAAGAAAATTTAATAGACAAAAAAGCTATGGAGATCATTGAAAAACACACCATAATTCGTGAATTACCTGAAGGACTCCTGAAATTTAAGGACATCCTGACACCTTTGAGACCTTTCACCATCAGGTAAGATCATATATATGCACATCTCAAAACAATTGGTATTTATATCTTATTTGTTTTGCAGATTAAATGACTTCATAACTCTTCACATCAAGGACCAAAAAGACATAAAATTAGAATTGGATGTTGATGGTTGTTCCCTGAATTTGCAATTAGGATGCCAAGTTGATTACAACAAAATTTTGAGTAGAGAATTTTTGGACAGGCAACACATTATACCAGGGGCTGTCAATGTAATGAATTCAGGGGAACCTAAAACTCCCAGTTTGATGAAGGTAAGAAAGTAGTTGTAATTGGCATTTTACTTTAAGAAAAGTTGGAAGAACAAGATGTAGATTGTGTATTTTAGTGCAAATTTGTCTCATATAAAATAATAATATTCTTCAGATAAATGAAATAATTGAAGAGAACAAAAGAGTGTTACATAAAGAAATTATGCATAAAAGAAAAATTAGAGGAGCCCCCATTCCTGAGTATCCTAGACACAGACTCATTGTAACGTAATTGTATAACAATAATTGATTATAGTCAATAATAAATTGTTGTATTTGAATTTGTAGAAAAACTAGTTTTTCTAGATATTTCATAACATATGAGCAACAATTTTGCATTTAAACTTTTTTTATGTGAATATAATAGTTTAAAAAATATTTAGAAAAAAGTTTAGCTTTTACATTGAGTTCTGGGTCACCCTGTATATCCATGTATTAAAACTCCCCAATGACCAAAACCCCAAAACCACATTTTTTCATTATTTTCTCTGCTAAAATAAATAAAATCAATATCACCTCTGTAGGAAATTAGTTTTTAATCAAATTATAGAACGAACAAGGGAAAAGCTTTGTGCAATTATTTTTCAAACGATAAATATTCTGTGCAAATAATTTTTAAATTGAAATTAAAATTGGAAAAATACGAAGAATAATTGTAGAAGAATAAATTATATAAATAAATCAAACAAAATAAATTGTATGGATAAGGTAATAATAAAATGAAAACAGAAGCATAAATGTGAATTTATGTTATTTAGGTTTAAGTTTACTTTTAAAACTTTTTAAAGTCTTATTTTATAATATTTAAAATTAAAATAAATAAATAAATATACTAAATAAAATAAATTATATAATCAATTGACCATTTAATTTCTAATTTTATCCATTGTACTAATTAGTACATTGTACTAATTAATTAATTCATTACTACTAAACCAATTACGTACAGATACGTATATTTAATGTAACAAATATGAAACCTACATTACGTAACTTTAATTTATACATATGTATAAATAAGCTAAACTAAATAAATAATGATAAACTCAATAAAATAAATTATGTGTTATACAATTGACCATTTAATTTTTTTGTTGTTCATGATAATAATTAATTCCTTCTAAACTAATTACATACAGATACGAAATTTTAATGTAACAAATACGAAACCTACATTACGTAATTATATCTATAAATAAACTAAACAAAATAAATATATAAATAAACTGAATAAAATAAATTATATAATTAATTGACCATTTAATTTCCCCTGATATTTATTTTTAATAATAAATTATTTATTTCCTTCTAAATTAGTTACGTACAGATACGTAATTTTAGCGTAACAAATGTGAAACCTACGTTACTCAATATTACAAAAAAGTTACATAAAATTTACGTAAATTGCCTGAAAAACTATTACGTAAAACAATCCTGGATGCTGTTTCATATAAGTTTCATAAAACTTGAATGAAATCCATGATTTATATTTTTTTTTTATAATTTTCAAATACTTTTTTACGATTTTTAAAATTATAATTATAATTAAAATAAAACGTGATTATAAACATGAATCAATTTTATTTTTATTTAATATTTTAAAACACTTTATAAAATAACTACATAACTATTAAGATAAGATAAGATAGAATTATTTAATATTATTATTTATATTATTAAAACTATTCTAAAAATATTTCTAAAATTTTTGTACATTAATAAAAATATCTACAAACAACACTTACTGGAAATTTAATATCTTGAAATATCTTATTTCAATTAATAATCAATATTAATTTATATTAATAATCAATTGTTGATTGGTTACTAATTAATCAATCAATTAATTATTTTCTAGAATTTTATTTCTAATTTTTTAATATATTTTTCAATGTACAAATTAAATTATTAAAAGTTTTTATTTATATTTTAAAGATTTTATAGAAACAATTTTAAGTTAGAATATTTACAAACAGCAATTTGATGTTTAAATTAGACTATGGTGAGTTCGATTGAAAAATATGTTTGAGTTGTGCAGATTTTGTAGATGTAGCCGATGTAGTTGTGTAGTTTTATGGGATTATTAGGTTTTGCAGGTAGGCAGATGTGTAGTTGTGTAGTTGATCAGTTTTTGCAAGTTCAGGCAGATCAGATTTGTGGGTTCAGGTAGTGTAGTTTTGTAGATTTAGTAGATTTTGTAGAATGGTAGATGTGCAGTTACCTGGATTTGTGCAAATTAGTAGACTTTAGTTGGGCAGTTGGTTTAATGTGTAGTTCTCAAAGGTTGAATAGGATTTGCAGGTTGACAGTTATGTAGTTGTGTAGTTGACCAGCTTTTGCTGGTTGGTATATACAGATTTATGGGTGCAATCAGGTGCAGTTAGTGTAGTTTTGGAGAATTTGTAGGTTGGCTGATGTGTAGCTATCTAGAATCATGCAAGTTAGAAGATTTTGGTTGTGGAGCTGGTATAATGTGCAAATTTTTAGTTTTGTAACTTATCAGAAATGATGTGTAAAGGTTGAATAGATTTTGTAAGCTGGCAGTTGTGTAGTTATGTAGTTGACCAGCTTTTGCAGAATGATATTTGCAGATTTGTGGGTGCAGTTAGTGTAGTTTTGAAGATTCAGATGACTACACATCTGCCAACCTACAAAATCTACTTATGGAAACCTATGTACACAAATTGATCTATGCAACAGTATAGTACAGTTTTGGAGATTGGCAGTTTAGCAGATGTGTCATGGTGGAAATTTTGTTACTTGAGTAGGTTGGAGTTGTGTGAGCCGTTGGCAAAAGAGTAGATTTCTAGTTATACATATTGAGTAGTTGTGTACTAAATTCGTTATTTTTGGCTGTAGTCCTGTAGTTTTTGGTATGTAGATGTAAAGATTTGGTATCCTATATGTTTGTTTAGATATATTTAAAATTAAATACTCCTCTGATACACTGAGTTAAAATTACTTAATATTTAAAGTCACTTTCAACGACAACTTAAACCTCTTACATCAAAACTATTTACACTCAACATCGAATTTGAAGTGAAACCTTCTTTATCTTCATCAATACGTGACAAAATGTCTTTCCATAACACATATTGAGAAGTTTATTATTTTAGCACTTTTTTAAACTAAACTTGTTCGTAAGGAGTACATTCTGGTACAGGGCGACTCCAAGTGCCATCAGAAAGACAACGAGGTCTTTCTGGTGAGGTGCCTCCACGTGCTTCGTGACCTGCACGACATTGTACCTGGAGAAAAATAAAATAATAAAAACAAAATGGTAAATAGAAGGTTATGGTATAATTGTTGGTACCTGTAAGGTGTCTCCGGGGTCGTAGGAGAATTTTAGGGGCGCCAACAAACCCCAAGCTGGGTCTCCGGGGTATGGACATTGGACTTTACCTAGAAACAGAAGAATTTTTGTTTTATGAGCTGTAGATTTTAATGTACTGGATGGATTTTGACGGTGTCTTTGGGAAAACTATGGATAACTGGATTGTCTACAAATCTTTCATACACAGTAAAAATGTAGAAACTATTTGTCCAGTAGAAATTGGAGTCTGGACCCCGCTCAAGAGATTTTTAGATGTTTTAGCAATTCTAGATGATTTTTTTGTATTTTGAGCTGCTGATTGCATCAATTTTGATGATGTCTTCAGAGAAATTATGGATAAATCGATAATCTTCAAATTGTCTTTAAGGCTTCACTTACAATAAGGCGGAGGATGTGACCACAATCCTGTTTCAGTACAAACGACACTGGTTTCTCCTACTAAGAGATGACGTTCGCTGCACCCGAAGCGAAGCAACGAACCAACATCGTATTTAGTCGGTTCGTTACTCTGCTGAGGCTCCGATCTTATTTCACGGGTTCCACTCCAGGGCACCGGAGGCTCCACACGTCCATTGAGAGGCGCTGGAGGTTCCGTACATTGTATCGCTTCGGGAAAAAGAGAGGAATCAATAAAGTTTTCAGGAGATTATGGTAAAAGCTATATGTGACTTTTTACCTATACACGTTGGTACAGGACCAGACCAATTCCCATCGTGATCGCATTCAATTCCAGGGGCTCCATTAATTCTGTGGCCCCATGCACATCGAAAAACAGCTCTGCCTCCTGCTCCAGGGTCGTATTCGGCCAAAGACAGACGAGCATCAGGCAACTGTAGTTCTGGGCATTTTACAGGTTGACACCTAGGAGTGCCCGCCGACCAAACTCCTGGGTAAAAGAAGTATGAGTAAATTTTGTTTTGTGCTGATGGAGGTAAAGGAATATTTACCTGAAGCCTGGCAGGTTATGTTGGCCAGACCGACGAGTTTGTAGCCCCTTGGACAAGAATAAGTAGCTCTTTGGCCGAGACGATTGCCTTCAATGCGAACAGTTAGAGGTGGATCTTCGGAGGGCAGTTGAGCACATTCTACAGCTAAAATAGAAAAACAACTTGTTAACTTCTCCAATGAGGAGTTTAGGAATTCGTCAGAAAATCCGTTTGTTGACTTTCAAAAACTTCTTCTAGATGTACCAAAAATGCCTAAGATGTGAATCTTTTTGGACAAACTGCATCCGCCACTAGTTCCTTTACTTCTCACCTGTGACAGTGATCCTCAAACTATGAGTCAGCCCCCTCGGCGTGGTGCAGGTGAACGTTCCCGAATCCTGGCTGGTGACATCCTTCATGGTCAGTTTGTACTTGAAATCCTTGTCGTCAGGATTCATGGACCAGGACGTGGCGTAATGGGTGAACTGTGGACTCCAGGTCCACTCTGGTTGGCCTTCCAGACGAGGAAATAGACATTCCAGGGATAGAGAACTTCCTGGATAGATTGCTAAGGATCCGGAAGGTTCGAAACTTGCTGAACCTGTTAGGAGACGTGGTAGAATTGCCGGTGGTGCTCGTTCTGGAAGAAAAATAATAAATAGAAATATATTGGTTTGGTAAATTATTAGGTATTTATTATTATTTACCTGAAAAGTTGGTCAGTTTATTTGTAGGAACACACGAAGGCAATTTGTTGCTCCATTCGCCATTGAGACATTTTATAGTACTGTCTCCTGTTAGTTTGTATAGACCTGCACAAAAATAATAATAATAATTAAAATATAAGTAAACATTAACTTTAAATTATGATAAAGTATTTAAATTTACCTAAAAGTGTGCACCTTGCTTGCAAAATGGCACCATGTGGAAATTGCCAAGACGGACTCTGAAATGAAGAGGTAATTTTAAAGTTTAGCGTTTTTTAATAAATAACTTTGTTCTAAACGTTAATATTTGTTATATATAGATTTATAAATAATTTTATTAGCTTTTCAACAATATATAATATTATATATTTTAAACCAACAATTTTAACAAAATTTTAAAATTACAATTTTAAGATTCAGCTAGTTATATTTAAAGACTTTGTTCTAGTTTTGACTGAAAATCTCGAACAATACTCATGTAATTTTAATAGAACATTAATATAACTTTAATATATTAATTTAAAAAGATTATATACAATTATTTATATACAATATACATTTATTTATCATTTGAATTCAAAAAACTTAACGGTTATTTTGCATCAGGTACTACTTGGATGCATCCTAGGCACTCTAATGCAATTTCTATGTCAGTCTAAAAATTTTGATGGAATGGTAATAATCGAACTAAAAATATAAAAAGTGATTCTGCAGTATTGATATTTCGGTAAAATATTGTTTAAATATTGTACTTTCATATGACAATACCACATTTTATTGTCATCGGCTAATACCGCCAAAAAATTGTGCAATTTTGAGGTTATGTTCAACATGTGCTTTTGGACATAGTGAATAGAATTCGGGTAAAAGAAATATTGTTACAGTATTGTTAGAATATTGAATTGTATTGTGATTTTATTGAATTATAGTCAACTTTATTGTTGAGTTCATTTTGTGGTTCATGGACAATTGGGTAGTTTGGTATAAGAAGTGGATACATTTTGTAAGTTTGACTGTTTTTATCAAATAATTTTGTTCTAAGCCTCGGAAATCGTTTTATACAGATTTGTAGATAATTTTATTAGCTTTCTATTGATATATAATAATATATACAAATTTTAGAAATATTGATCAAAATATTAAAAAATGCAAGAGGAAAATCTGTTAGCTAGGGTGTAAAATTAAAGTTTGACAATTATTTATTAAATAACTTTGTTCTAAGTTTGATGAATTGTTATATAAAGATTTATAGATAATTTTATTAGCTTTCTGATGATATATGATAATATATACATTCTTGAACAAATTTCAGAATTATTGAAAAAATGCAATCTGACAAAACTGTATCAAGTATTATCAAGTGTTGAATTAAAGTTTGATGATTATTTATTTAATAATTTTGTTCTCAACCTTGGTAATTATTATATACAGATTTATAGATAATTTTATTAGCTTTTTAATGATATATAATATACTATACTTATATTTAGGTTTTTTTGATTAAATAATTATAAATATAAAACAATTCTATCGACGTCTTAGTTAAAGAAGCAATTTCTTAAAAGTGATTTTCAAAGTTAAGGGATTTTTATTCAATAATTTTGTTGTAAACCTTAGAAATCGTTGTATACAGATTTATAGACAATTTTATGTGCTTTCTTGTGATATATACTCAAACAAATTTTAGAAATATTAACCAAAATATAAAAAAATGCAATCAGACATAATTGGGCACTATCATGAAGCACAAAATTAATTTTTTGACTATTATTTATTATCATACTACGGATATTATTTTAATGTAAATTCTATCCTTTGCACTCTTATTTATTTAAATTTATGTTATCATTTATCATTATTGCTAGATGTTAATTATTTAACAGTTGTAATAAATATTGAAATTGAAAAAATATATATATATATATATATATATATATATATTTATTTATTTGTTGAAAATGTTTAAATTTGATGTTGAAATGTATGATTGATTTCTTGGAGGGCGTAACATCAATTAAAAAATAAGTAAAGTAAAGATTTTTTTCAAAACATCTTTATTTTTCCATACGTTTCGACGTAAAATTTTACGTCATCTTCAGTGGTTCTACAATTTAAAAAAAGAAAAAAACAGAAAGTAACTGAAGATGACGTAGAATTTTACGTCGAAACGTATGGAAAAATAAAGATGTTTTGAAAAAAATCTTTACTTTACTTATTTTTTAATTGATGTTACGCCCTCCCAGAAATCAATCATATATATTTATATATATATATATATATATATATATATATATAATATATTAATAATTATTTTCTTACCGTAACTGTAACATTCCTAAAACTCATCACTAAATTTTTCTGCCAAGTCTCCAGTTTGCAACTTTTGAACAAAGGTTGATATTTATCACCATCTGAAAAAGAATTATTAATTTTCATTAGCGATTTTGGAGTATACAGAGTTGCTGTAAGGTCTTGAGATGTTAGAAAAAGTTTTAGATTTTTTAATTTTTAACATCTTTCTTGAATACATCATTCATATTAATCGAATGGTTTGAGAGATACGGAAGAAAAATCAAAGTAATGCGTTGTAGTAAAAATTGTAGGCATCAGAAATCGATGCTTAAGTTAAATGCGATTTTGGAGTATACCGAGTTGATGTAGGGTCTTGTAATGTTAGATCATTTAATTTTAAATAATTTTCTCGAATACATCATTCATATTAATCAAATGAGATATGGAAGAAAAATCAAAGTAATGCGTTGTAGCAGAAATTGTAGGCACCAGAAACCAATGCTTAAGTTTAAATGCGATTTTGGAGTATACCGAGTTGTTATAGAGTGTTTTGTTGTTATACAAAATTGTTAACTATTTAATTTTAAACAAGTTTGTTCAAATACTTTATTCAAATACATTAAATAGTTTAGGATCTACAAGCGTTTAAAACATAAAAACATTTCAACTGTTATATTTTCAATAGCTGTTTTAAAGTATACCGAGTTGCTCTAGGGTCTTATAATGTTAGAAAAAATTTTAGATTATTTATTTAGTACAAATTTCTCTCACCCATCATTCATATAATCGAACGGTTTAAGTCACGAGAGATATAACAAATAAATGTATTTCCCTCTACCTACCTTCAGTAGTTGCACAAAGTGGCCCCAGCCACTGTCCGCCAATGCATTTAATTTTGCAAGGTCTCCTTTCTCTCAGAGGCCCTACTTGGCCAGGAAATCTTACTTCGGTTGCATGGGCGAAGGATTCGGCCCTGGGGTCGAAAAGGGCTCCGGATGGGGTACTTGTTAAACCTGAAAGAAATAGATAGATAAATAAATATATAAATAGATAAATTGATAAATAAGTACATGAATAAATTAAGAAATAAATACTTAAATCAATAAATGAACAAAGAAATAAACAAATTAAAAATTAATATGTATAAAAAATTATTATTTTTTAACACAACGAAATTAGGGATTTATTAACTGAATATGTTGTACATATTAGAAAGAATTTTGGGATTTTTTTCTAGTTTTCCTCAAATATCTTCTAAACTAACAAATTTGGAAAAAAATTGTTTAAAAACAAATTTGTAGATTATGAAATTCTGCAGAAATTTGTCGTCAACACTATTTTGTATTACTATACAACATTTAGTTTCTTAGATATAACATTTACTTTCTTTGATACAACATTTCTTCTTCTGAAACTATTCTGCAATGTCTAATTAGACAAGGAGGCAACGACACATAGAATAAGAGAACTTTGTATAAAAAGTTTGATATTGCTAAGTATTACATTTAAGCATTAAAAACGTTGCAAATGTTGTAAATGGGGCTTAAAAAGCATTTTTGGCTGGAATCAAAACATCAGGTCTAACAATTTCCTGGAGATTTCTTAGTAATTTCTTAGTAGTAAGTCATTCTTAGTAATTTTAGACCAAATTTGGTAAAACCATGTGCAAACTTTAGTCGATTATTTATGCAACTTACTACCTTGAGGCAAAATGCCACTTACACCTAGTTATTTATCTGTTACCTGGTCCATCAAATATGTCATCTGCCAAAGAATCAAAAGGGGCCCCTTCGTTTTTAGTTGCATGCTGAGGGGGCGCAATGATGCCCCTGCCGATTTTTATATCAGGAGCTGGACAGCCTATGGATTCTGAAAAAAATATAAATATTCATATATATCACCAAGACAGATAAGATAACAAATGAAGAAGCCCTGAGAAGAGTAGACAAAAAAAGGACTCTACTGAGCACAATCCTGAAAAGAAAAAGAAACTGGATCGGACCCGTTTTGCAAAAAGAGTGCCTCCTGCACGACGCTGTCGAGGGTAAAATAGAAGGTTAAAGGAATGGGAAGAAGAAGAATGCAGATGATTGACGACTTACGCGAGAAGAGAAAATACAGGGAACTGAATGATTAAGCACAGGATCAGAAAGCATGGAAACAGAAGTTTGGAAAGGAAAATACATGAAAAAAGTGTGGCGGGAATAGTGGTAATGGGAATGATAGACGAAGGTTAAGGGAATCGTTTATTTGTAGTGGCTCTCATACCATGGACCTGCCTTCGCTAGACTACGATTTATTATTAAATCACTAATGTATATTGTATAAACTATGATTTCCAATAACAATCAAGAAATGCAGTTCATAAAATTTGTGTCATACCGAAACCATTAACATCTACTTAATTCACATTAATGAAGAATACCAATTATTTTGAAATCTATATTTCAAGGCCGGGAGTATGTTCGCGCCAATCAAAGCATGCAGTTATATTGATAAAACAAAAATCATCAATCGAAATCACACATAGACCAAATCAACCAATGCGTTATCAAAAACAATATTAAAATTTTGTAAATACACTTATAACTTGTTATTAATATAAAATAAATATATACAGTTATTATTAACGTATTTTACAATTGGTCCTTCAAAAAGCATCAATCACAACAACCAGTGAAAAAACATTGCAGTTGATTTGATAAACCAGATTCCTATGGCGTTTGATATTGAAAGAAGTTTTTGTTTTGGTAAAAATGATATTCATTAAACACATTAATATTTATTAATATTGAGTACTATTATTGAATTATTTGACTTAAAGTTTTTT